ATACATAGAGGCTAGGGGAGAGGAGAAGAGTGAGAGTTTCATCAGTCTATAGATCTACAGATCTAATGTAGGGACAAATCAGGCAACCGAAGAGTAAAAAAGGGCATCCACAAAGCAAACCATTCATATTAGCTTAAATCTAACTGCATGCTACAAAACAATAACAAGAGAAGAGCCAAAATCAGTAGGTGAAGGGAAAGTGAGGGTTTGCTGAACTTGCTGGGTGACGCCCCTTTCTCAGACTGCATCCATAAACATGGTGGACAGGGTTGTCAAAATAAGAGGAAGTGAATTGGTATTATCGATTTTCTAACACAGCAGCCCAATAGAACGACAGATCAGATTTGTTGGAAAACCGTTACGACATACACATATTCCTCAACTAAGAGAAAAACGATCACCTTATACCAAAATACGCATATTTAACTTCGAAGCCTCATCTTCAAAAAACAAAATAATTTGAACGAACCTGCCAACGAAGTTCTCGAGGACACTACTTTTGCCGGCACTCTGGCTCCCTACGACAGCAATTTGTGGTAAATCCAATGATAAAGGAACTCCTAGTGAAGCAAATACATCTAGTAATTTGTTCACAATAGGAATCAAATGCTCCATTCCAACGTTGCCCGACATCTTGGCAGATTCTTTCGCCCGATCGATGAGACTCTATCTTTCGCTATCGGTCATGGCGGAAGGAAATCTGTGTGTGACGTCACATGCCGTTTATAGCTTGAACAATATAAACACTATTTTGCAATGAAAAGGGTGACTTATCTGCCCATGACGAAGGCGTATTTTCAGTATGTTTAGTCATCCGAAGTTTTTTCCAAGTTTCGGTAGTGTAGACTAGATACTAGATTACGAATTCGTTGGCGAAACATTAGGCCTACGTCATTAAAAAAATTTACCTTTCGATAGAAACAAGGTGTATTGCCAAATGTTAATTCAAGTAATCCATAAAAAAGCTAGAAAACTTACGAAGCATTTTTTTTTTAACTGACGTACTTGACTGGATGAAAAATAGGATGTATTATGATGGTAGTCTATGTGAACTGTATATAAATGTGTGTCTGTACGCGTGCTTGTAGTGTGTG